CCAAGTTAATCGTTTGCTTTGAAATTCCGTGTCTCTTTGCTTTAATATTCGTAGTTGATAAATCAAATCTCCAACTTGAATTAGAGTGTTTAGGAAATTCTTTTCTCTTTACTTGTGATCGAATATCCGTACAAATAATCCGGCTAACCTTCCTCGTGATACGACCCGGTGACGAATCTTTCGATTCTACTCCGGTTAAAAATACTTACAACAGACCCCTGAAATATGGACCCTTGGATAAGGAAGAATCCAACGGTCTAAATCGAGCACGGGAATAGAAGAGGCGGAATACGAAACGACCCAAGCGTTATTTCAAATCAGCATTAATGAGTTTCATAGTTTGTTGGGAGAGTTTAACCGCCAATTTTACTCATAAGCTCAAGATAGCTTGGAGTAAATTTTGTTTGGAGAGGGGGGGGGGGGTTGTAGATTATATAGCCATATTGGCGTTGACTAGATTAATTGTTGGGAGCTCTGCCAGATTACAAGACGACCTAAGTAGATCGATTTGAGATAAATATTCTAGGAGCATGATGACTGCCATAATATATGACTAGAGAAGTCTGCAATAACTCGAAGACGACAGCACGCGGCTCGAGAGCCTCGACGTTGACCTAAAGGGTAACGACTCAGAAAGTGACGACCTAATCACAGACAACTTAATCCTTGCAAGATGGCATCAGATGACTCGACCCTCAAGATATTATTTAAGTCGCACTAACTCTATCATCCAAAGACGACTTGACGTGCCTCTCAGCTTGAGGTAGAGGCTCAGTGAAGATAACGGCCCAAGATTTAATGGGCCTAAGGGATAAAGGCGAATCTTAAAATGATTAGAAGGAATCTTAGGATGACTAGAATCTCATTAAGAGGTGATTTATATATGGATAAGCACGAGAATTCGGGCAGCTGGGCAGTGGCGAAACCAGCCGGTCATCCCGGGGAGGGCCAAATTTGCCGCGGCGCACCACCCCCACTCCGGCATCGGAAGGGTGCTCAAAGGGCTTTTGTAGACGCTCTCAAAAATTTTCGCAGGATATAAAAGAATACTCTAGAGATTTCTCTAAAAATTAAACTAAGTCCGGAATTAAACTGGTATACTTATACTGAATTGTTTTAACTCGAAAAATACTCGAATTTATACTAATAAAAATCTTGGACTCAATTATAATAATAATCAAGAATTATACTTCCTTTCGAATAGACGAAAAGCTGAAAAAATTGAGAAAACGAAGCTCGAAAGATCGAACTCGTCCTCGACAAATTTGCTCATTTTGATACTATTTAATGCAAAAATTCAAACTCCTATAATAAATGCTCGGAACTCCGAAAATGCGAAATTTGTCCGTATGGAATCGTGCTTGAATTATCTACACGCTTCAACTCGATTCTCGTTAAACCGAGGTCACACGCAACCTTACGGAACCCCGCAAAACGGCTTTTTATTCTTCTATTATGCGCACTCGACTTCGAGCTTCTCAAAATAAATGCTCGAAACTTCAAAACGTGAAATAAATCTTACGAACGGCTTCTACTGTTCTCGTACTTTCAAGAAAGCACTCCCGCTAATTTTTAGCACGCCTAACGAGGGTCGACGGTTACCCGAAGTCTAGACATGAAAATGACAATAAAATCACCGCCACTGCCATTTTTCTCTCAACTTCGGGCTACCCAAAATAAATGGTCGGGACCTCAAAATCATAAATCGATGCCACCAGCGGACTTTCCGCTTCCCGTACTTTCATAAAAGTATTTTTCGGTAATAATCGACTCAGTTTTTTAGTCCTGTCGGTACACCACAAGTCGGCTAATTAACCAACTCAAAATATAATAAAAATAAAAAAATTATTAAATTATGCTGCTGTTATAGTTCTCCTTGTCCCGAAACCAGGATCCCATTTCGGGAGGACCCAATTTGCCTTAAAAAAAAAATTCACGACAAAACTAGTGGCGCCCCTCCGGCCATGTATGTACCGCATGAAACCGGGGAGGGTCCAACATGCGCGCTCAAAGAAAAATCTTCCAGTTCTAGCAAAATCCTCCACCCTAGTTTAAATTTTTAATTTTTTTGGAGGGGCCGGCGCCACTCCGAACTTGTGAATAGTTTCGCCCCTGCAGCTGGGCAAGCCGCCCGTGGGAACCTAGGCAGATCATTTCGAGCTAGTATTTTTCCCTATAAAAGGGCCCAAGGTATCACCTAACTCTAACTTTACATTCTCCAAGTATTAGATTGCTCATATTTATTAATCATCATAATCTTCCTGATACTGACTTAGACACAGGAGGCTCAACGCTGAAAATTCCTCCGACGTTGAGTTCTTACAGGTATGTACGTGGCGATTCAGGTAGAATGGTTTGATCCAGATATGCTAGAGGACCCATATCAATATTATTTGAAGTTAAAATAATTAAATTATTAATATCATTTTCTATTCTATAAGTGATTTATAAGATATACATTTGTTACCAATCTTTCTCTTTTCATCGGTCTTTCTTTTAAATTTTTTTTTTAACTTAAGTTATAAATATATTTTAAAAGTCAATAATTTTTTTTTTATATATATAATACATCAAATTAATCATCTTTTGATGAGTTTTGATTTGACAATTATATTGTACATACAAAACAAATAAATAATTATATTTACATCTATAATAAAAAAATAAATTATCTATTAATATTATTTCAACAAAATAAAATTATTCAAATTAATTTAACTAAGTGCATTTTATGATATAAGTTAAAATTATATTATAATATAAGATGAGTAAGTTGTATAAGTGACATGTGTCATTTTAAATACAACAAGCTTTATCCAAAATATTATACTAACGTCTTTGGAAGTTTTTGAAGCTTTTTCTAAGGGCTCAACTACAACCATTGATGTTAGACTTGTCTCTTTGGAACCTCCCGACACGACGGCAGTCCTAATACAAATGGGGCATCACAAGGGAACCCCGGCATCTCAGGTGTGGGCGGTCTCCCGACGTGTCATTATAAATATAAATAATAATATAATTTTTTCATTAGTTTAAAATTTTAAATATAAATTTTTTAACAATCATCCGTATAATACGCAGGTACTGTACTAATATGATATAAGTTATAAAAAATATCATAATATGAGTAAGGGGTCGATACAGTGTTTTAAAACGCGTATAGTGTAATGCGTCGCGTTTTGATCTTTATACTGCGTAGCGTAAATAGCGTTGCATGTCGCGTAAGCTATTTGGGTATATTTTTTTATATATATATAAATATTACAAATATTTGCATATAATAAAATTGGATGGTTGATTACAAAAATTATCATAGTATTTGAATGACTTAAAAAATAACATCTAAGGATTATTTCTCACAAATATTTAATGTGAATATCATCATAATATAAATATTTAAATAATTAGTGGAATATACTAAAAGTAAAAACAAACAACGAAAATATAATGAGGTAAGTCATAGTATAATTTTAAGTATATGAATTTTAATTATTAATTTTTTATTTACCTATAAGTTAATTTTAACCAAATATGAACTTTATATTCTCTATTTAAATGTCCAATATCGAATAATAAAATGATATAACAAAAATTGACCGATAAATATTGCACTATTCAACTTAAGACTCTGCATTTACAAACTTTTAATTTGAAATTATTATCCAAATTTATAGTTTTTAGTTGTCATTTGTAAATATGACTCTGATCCCTAAGAAATACGAATTTTTGAATATTTTATTGTTCAAATGTCGTAGTAGAAATATAGCGCAATGTAGCGCACATAGCGTGAAATAGCGCAAAATAGCGTAAGAAAATGTGTCATTTAAACATTTCGCGTAAGCTTTTTGGGAAAAACGCTAAATATATAAGGCTACGTCGCGTTTTTCTGAAAAAAAGCTATATAGCGAGCAATAGCGAGCTACATAGCGAGCTATTTAAAACAATGGGTCGATATCATCTTAAATATGAAACAATATATATTTTTGTAACCTTAAAATAATAATAATAAAAAATTAGTTTCATTTTTTAAAAATTCATGTATAAATATATTGTTATGCTAGTTATATTTAATTAACACAAAAATTGTGATTTACTATATTATTTAGTCAAATACAAACCAACCATATACTGCCACGTTGGATTTCCACTGTACAGCGTGGGCCACCCTTCCCTACATTCATGATCTTTAATTATTTCGAAACCTTTTTTTTTCTAAGAAATCAAATTTTCTTTTCATCGATTTTAATTTTATTTCCTGTTTTCACCTTCTTCCAAAAAAAAAAAAAAAAAAATAGGGTAAAATATTTTTTCCCATTCAGACTATCACGATGTTGGCGCATCAACATATAAATTATTTTATTTTACAAACCACCATATGAATTACACGAGTTTGTCAATTTGTCCCTAAACTAGAAATAAAAGTAGTTTTGATTGAAAAGCTGTTTGGTCAACATATGTGCCCCTAAATACTTTTACAAACCACCATATGAATTACACGAGTTTGTCAATTTGTCCCCTAAACTAGAAATAAAAGTAGTTTTGATTGAAAAGCTGTTTGGTCAACATATGTGCCCCTAAATACTTTTACAAACCACCATATGAACTATCACAGCTTTGTCAATGTACCCCTAAACTACTTTTATATCCTGTTTAAGGGACATATTGACAAACCCGTATAGTTCATTAGTTTCTAAAAATAAATAGTTTATATAATGATGTGTAAAAACCGTCATGGACTAGAAAACGTATTTTACCCAAAAAAAAAAAAAAAAATACCCATCGTCGTCGTCTACTTTCAAACCTCCACAGATCCCTAACCCCTACTCCCATTCACTTTCTCACTCTTGACAATTTTTTTATAATTTTTTGATTGATCGAGTTTTTTGTATCAGATATTTCCCTTTTATTGTTTTTTATTTCTTTTTTATTATTATTATTTTTTTTTTTTTTCCAATTTTGTTTTCTTGAATTCATTGTTTCGTCATTTGGGGCAAAGAAAAATGGGGGTCTGTACTTCTAAACCGAAACCCATCCAAGAACCTGATTTTCCTTCATCAGGTGAAATCAAGGTACGATCCCAGGACAAGCAGGTACAAGCCCAGAATAGGGAAAACCCAGTAGCGCCGGAGGACGACAACAACGGCGAAAACGCAGTGGAAACAGGGAAAAAATCGCCGTTCTTCTCCCTTTTCTACAGCCCCAGCCCAGCCCATTACCTGTTCTCGAAAAAGTCTCCGGCACCGGGAACCGGGACGCCGAGGAGGTTCTTCAAGCGTCCGTTTCCACCTCCGTCGCCAGCAAAGCACATCAAGGCAGTTCTCGCTCGGCGGCATGGCTCCGTGAAGCCAAACGAGGCGGCAATTCCAGAGGGGAATGAGGTTTCAGATGCGTCAGGTCTGGACAAGAGCTTCGGGTTCTCCAAGAAGTTTTATGGCAGGTATGAGCTTGGGGAGGAAGTTGGGAGGGGGCATTTTGGGTATACTTGCCGGGCCAAGTTCAAGAAAGGGGAGCTCAAGGGGCAAGAAGTTGCTGTTAAGGTCATTCCCAAAGCAAAGGTTTGGACTTGTTCTGTTTTTCACTTTGTTTGGTGCTAGCAGTGATTATTATCTACTTCTTGATCTTTTTCCTTTGACTTGTGTTGTTGTATTTAAGAAGATATGATCTTTTTTGCCTTTGAAGTATTGTTGTTTGTTAATTTAACTTGAGCATGTACTTGTAATTAGAATGTGGGTTCTGTTACAATCAGTTGTAGCTTGCTAAAAGTCTGAAAGTATCTCAGTTAGGTAAATCATAAATGACGAATTTTGATTAAAAATGATTTTGAGCTAAACAAGTTGAAATTTGAGTGACCTTACCAGAAAAACAACAACAACAACAACAACATACCCAGTATATTCCCAACAGGTTGGGGTCTGGGGGGTCAGTTGTACGCAGACCTTACCCTTGTAATTATATTATACAAGGAGGCTGTTTCCGTAGCGACCCAAAGTGCATTGCGTCGTTTGGTATATTTTTTTCTAGAGACTTCACTAATAGAAGAAGCACTAGAATTTAATTGAGCCATTTTGATCTAGTCCATTATTAGCATTATGCCAGGAGAATTGTCAACAATGACTGTTCCAGCTCCATTTGCAATGGACATAACGACCTTACCAGAAAAAAAAAAAAAAAAAAAACTTTGTAAAGAAAATAGTAAGTCAACTGATCAGAGATTGGTTTCTTGTGCTGACATTTCCTTAAGTAGTTGACTTCATGTGATTGGGCCGATGAGGTGATGAAATATGTGTATCCGAGTTTTTTTGCACAATGCAAGTCAATGTCATAGCAGGAGGCAGTGGAATGACTAAAGTATGCATAAGAAAAAATCATCTATAATCTATATGTTCTAGGCATACTCCATTAGAAATAAGCATTTCAGAAGCTTCAGCTGTTTGCTTGACGCCCATAGCCGTTGGTGTTTGACTTTCTCCGCACATTATTTATCAACTAGCAGAAGGACCTTTGAATTTAGGTGGGATATGAAATTGTATTAATAGTAGGGTAATGCTGAAATTATTGGTTCGGCTGGTATCATTTCTGTTTTTTCACCCTCTAAACAAGTTGATTATACATTGTTGTGATTAGTTTATGAAACTGTCTAACATGCATCAAATCCATTTGTGCAATAATGCCAAAAAAAAAAAAAAAGGTCGTGCCTCATGGATTTCATCTGAAATCATCTTTGATTGCTATAGTTTAACCCATAACCCTGATGGTAGGCAATGACTGTAAATAGATCTATGTAATAACCTTTCACTCTATTAATAAATCTTTATCGGTAACTTCGTTTGCAACTTTCAGATGACCACTGCTATTGCTATTGAAGACATAAGAAAGGAGGTGAAAATATTGCGAGCTTTGACAGGACACAACAATTTGATTCAGTTTTATGATGCTTTTGAAGACCACGACAATGTCTACATTGTGATGGAGTAAGCTTTGATTTGGTGATTTAGTTGATTTTTTATCTCTGTAATTATTTCAGAATTATCTTTCTTGAAGCATTTACTTATTCACGGACTTCATATTCAGGTTATGTGAAGGTGGCGAGCTTTTGGATCGAATACTTTCGAGGTATTTCCTTTGTATCTTCTGGAATTATTATTATGTACTATGTTAAGAAAACATAGGAACATGTTAACTTTTAGTTTGTTTATTATATTTGGATTAGAAACTCTGCAATAGCATAATAATAATATATTGAGTTTTGCCTTTATAGGGGTGGCAAGTATGCGGAAAACGATGCAAAAACAGTGATGATACAGATACTTAATGTTGTCTCATTCTGCCATCTTCAAGGGGTGGTTCATCGTGATCTTAAACCTGAGGTACGTTTCTTGTATGATTATGTTATTCAATATGGAGTATACAATTTGAATCTTGTTACTCTCCTCATCATTGGGATAATCACAAAGTACCCATGATTTATATAGTAATTACAAGTAGTCCTGTGGAAATTTCAAATTTACCAAGTACCCCCTCAGCTTTGCTTCTGTCTAATATTAGGGACGTTGAGGTTTCATTTGCTTATGAAAGGGAATTAAATACTAAAAAGAATTGAACATCAAGATATCAAAGAGCTGCTATATATAAGAAAGGCTGAGATGTCATTTGCTTATGAGAGAGAATTAAAGACTAGAATTAGTCGAACATGATGATATATAACATTCATTTGCTTATGGAAGAGAATTAAATACTAGAATTAACTGAACATGATGATATAACATTCATATGCTTATGAAAGAGAATTAAATAATATATCAGTGTTCTAGAAGTCGCTAGACACCTGATAAGCGCTCGACCATGGCCTAGCGCCTAGAGCGCTTAGGCGGGGCTTGAAATCAATATTAAATACCTTATTTTTTTTTATTTATTTTCACTATCTACAAAATAAAACTATCTCAACACACCTAATTCTAAATAATAATATTAGTATATTATAAAGAAAATATGATAACAAAATAATGTAATTAGTATTTAAATAAATAAAAAAAAATGAAAAATTTGCGCCGAACCCGCCTAGGAGACCTAGGCGCCGCCTAACCGTCTGGCCGATTTTTTCAGCCGATTTATGCAAATCGGAGGCGTGGCCAGGCAGCGCCTTGGCGCCACCTAGGCCGATTTTTAGATAAGAGATATATATATGCATTTTCATATGATCTTTTGCAACTACTGTTGTAGCTTGTCTAACTGTAGCTTTATTGCTGGCCCAGAATTTTCTATTCACATCCAAGGAAGAAAACTCGCTGCTGAAAGCCATAGACTTTGGTTTATCCGATTTTGTGAAACCAGGTTAGTCCATCTTTAATCAATTCGAGTTTTCAGAATGTGGAAACTTTAAAATTCGTTTAATTTTGGTAAACAATTATTTGCAGACGAGAGGCTTAACGACATTGTAGGCAGTGCATATTATGTGGCACCCGAAGTTTTACATCGGGCATATAGCACAGAGGCCGATGTTTGGAGTATAGGTGTGGTAGCGTATATCCTTCTGTGTGGGAGCCGCCCATTTTGGGCTCGAACGGAGTCCGGTATTTTTCGGGCCGTAGTGAAAGCCGAGCCCACTTACGAGGAACAGCCCTGGCCCACACTCTCATCTGAGGCTAAGGACTTTGTTAAGCGCCTCCTGAACAAGGACCCAAGGAAAAGGATGACTGCACCTCAAGCCTTATGTGAGCTTCTTTTCATTTTTTCCTGATTAAAAAAAAATGTTGTTTAAAAAGCTAAGAGTATAGATACCCCCTTGAGATTTGTAAAAAGAAAACAAATTTATCTGAGGGTTTATTTTTAATTTCACAACCTCAAGGGTAGTTTTTTGTAACTTATCATCAATTGGTTTATTGAAAAAAAAAAAAAAAAAAAAAATTCTCCTGATTTTCTGTTTCAGGTCATCCATGGATCAAAAATAGTAATGGTGTGAAAGTGCCGTTGGACTTGCTAATATTTAAACTTATGAAAGCTTACATGCGTTCGTCTCCTCTACGGGAAGCTGCTTTACGGGTGCGTGTAGCAAAACTCTAGTCTATGAGTGAGTGTGTTTGAATATTTGAAGAAAAATATGTGAAAATGGCCCCATAGGCACTTGCATCAAACGAGCTCGACTCAAGAATACAAAAAACACTGAAAATAAAAACAAAAACACATGAAACCAACACCCGAAATATTTTCTTGATCCTATGGCATATTGCTCATCTTATAGGACTTTCTTAATTAGTTGGGCTTTAAACTTTTGCAGGCTTTATCTAAAACCCTTACTATTGACGAACTCTTCTATTTAAGAGAGCAATTTGCGCACCTGGAGCCGACCAAAAACGGAACAATTAGCTTGGACAATATCAAAGCGGTTGGTGGTTTGCTGATTGTTGTATAAAAAAATAGGACAATGCTACTTGTACCCCTTGGTGTACCACTTGGTTTACATCCAATGGGTACATGTACCCGTTTACCCTTAATGAACAATTTAAATGGGTACATGTACCCATTTACCCATTTACCCTTAATGTAATTTAAATGAAAATTTGTTCAGAGATTTTTTTTTTGTTTGTTTTTTGGGTTAGGCCTTGAAGCAGAACGCTACCGATGCCATGAACGAGTCACGAATTTATGACTTCCTTGCTTCGGTACGCCTTTCTGACACTATACATCAACTGTATATTTTTGTATATTTAAAATTACATTACTGATTTTTTTTTTTATTATATATTATATATATATATATATATATATATATATTTCTTTTAATTCCTGTTACACATAGTTTTTAAACCCGGCCCGGTAATCGACCCGGGCAGGTCTTCGGGTCACCGGGTCACCGGTTCAACCGCCGGGTCACCGGGTCAATTGCTGAACCGGATAATTAATTTTAAAATTTATAAAATTATATATAGAGTATTTTGTGATATATAAATATACATAAAAATAACAAATTTAAATATTTTGTATGTAAACTTTGTAGATTAAAGTGGTAATTATATGTATATATTTATCATATAAATATATATACATAATTTTATTTTTTAAAAAGAAAAAGAAAATTAAAAAACAAAAAATAAAATAAAAAAATACATATAGACCGGGTCAACCGGGTTGACCCAGCCGGGTCAATGTCCCGGGTCGACCGGGTCAAGGCCGGGTCGACCGGGTTTTGACCGGGTTTGACCGGGTCCGTTGTTGCCCGGTCTAATTAACCCACCCGGACCGGTTCCGGCTCCGGGTCGACCGGGTCCCGGGTCGACCCGCCGGTCCGGTCCGGGTCACAAAACACTGCTGTTACAGCTTAGTGCCCTTCAATACAGAAGAATGGATTTCGAAGAATTCTGTGCGGCTGCATCAAGTGTTTACCAGTTAGAAGCTCTCGATAGATGGGAGCAACATGCTCGTTGTGCCTATGAGCTTTTTGATAAAGAAGGCAACCGAACTATCATGATCGAGGAATTAGCTTCGGTAGATACCATATATTATTTATTACTTAATTTCATTGTTTTAATAATTTTCCTTTTTTATACAATAGTTTATGGCTCTATAACCACCACCCCCCC